CCAGGGTCCTGGTATCGAGCCCCGCGTCGGGCTCCCTGCTCCATGGGGGGCCTGTTTTTCCCTCTCCCACTCCCCCTGCTTGTGTTCCCTTTCTCGCTGTGTCTCTCTCTGCCAAATAAATAAAATCTTAAAAAAAATATATACAGGATAGGGAACATACTCAATAATATTGTAATAACCTCATGTGGTGACTGATGGTGATTACACTTATCATTAATGAGCACTGAGTAATGTATAGAAGTGTCAAATCAATATGTTGTACACCTGAAACTAATATAACATGGTATGTCAATTATAAGTCAATAACTTTTAAAATGGGCAAAGGACGTGAATAGACATTTCTCAAAAGAAGACACGCAAATGCATGGAAAACTTCATCTAGAACTAATGATGTAATGTATGGGGATTAACATAAGAATAAAAAAAAAAGAAATAAAAAAAAAAAAAAGAAGACACACAAATGGCCAACAGTGTATAAAAAGATGCTCAATATCACTAGTCATCAGGGAAATGCAAAACAAAACTACAATGAGATATCACCTCACACCTGTTAGAATGGCTATTATCAAAAAGACAAAAGCTAAGTTTTAGCAAGGATGTGGAGAAAAGGACACGCTTGCACACTATTGGTGGGAATGTAAATCGGTATCACCACAATGGAAAACAGTATAAATAGTAAATATATAATGGAATATTACACCAGCCTTTAAAAACAAGGAAATCCTGTCATTTGTGACAACATAGATGAAACTGAAGGACATTATGCTAAATGAAATAAGACAGGCACGGAAAGATAGGTACTATATATATATATGTTTTGTTTGTTTGTTTGTTTTGAGAGAGAGAGCATGCAAGGGCGTGAGGGGGGAGGGCGGAGGAGGGAGGGAGGGGCAGAGGGAGAGAGATAATCTTAAGCAGGCTCCACAAGGGGCTCTGTCTCACAGCCCTGAGATCGTGACCTGAGCCAAAATCAGACGCTTAACCGACTGAGCCACCCAGGGGCCCCACTTATACATGGAATTTAAAGTAGCTGGACTCAGGGGTGCCTGGATGGCTCAGTCGGTTAAGCATCTGCCTTCAGCTCAGGTCATGATCCCATGATCCCATGGTCCTGGGATTGAGCCCTGAGCCCTTCAACAGGCTCTCTGCTCAGCAGGGAGCCTGCTTCTCCCTCTCCCTCTGCCTACTGCTCCTCACTGCTTGTGCTCTCTCCCTGTCAAATAAATAAATAAAATCTTTAAATTTTTTTAAAATTTTTAAAATAAAATAAAATTGTTAGACTCATAGAAGCAGAGTATAGATTGGTGGTTAGCAGGCATTTGAGCGGCAGTTGGAAGCAGAATGAGGAAGTGTTGGTCAAAGCATACAAAGTTCCAGTTATGCAGGGATAAATTAAGCTTAGAGATCTAATGTACAGCATGATGACTACAGCTAATAATACTGTACTGAATACTGAAAATATGCTAAAAGAGTAAATTTAGGTGCTCTCATCACAAAAGATAACTATTTGAGGAATTGATATGTTAACTAGCCTGACCATAAGTAATCATTTCACTTGTATGTCAAATCATCATATTGTACACCTTAAATATATACAATTTTTAAAAGATTTCATTTATTTATTTGACACATAGAGAGAGACAGCGAGAAAGGGAACACAAGCAGGGGGAGTGGGAGAGGGAGAACCTGGCTTCCCGCTGAGCAGGGAGCCCGATGCAGGGCTTGATCCCAGGACCCTGAGATCATGACCTGAGCCACGAAGGCAGACACTTAATGACTGAGCCACCCAGGCGCCCCAATATATACAATTTTTAAGTGGCTGATAGAAATCAGTAGGGAAGCCAAGTCATAAACAAATAATTATAAAGCAATGATGAATTTTAATTACAGAGATATACACATAAACTCTGTGTATGAAGGGAATACCTGGTCACATAAAGTCAACATCAAGTGAAATAACAAATATGCAGTTATTGTTATTGTTGCTGTTATTATTATTGCTGCTACTGTTTTGATGTTATTATTGTTGTTTTTAGCAAAGCTAAGATGTAAAATCTGGTAAATATAAATGGGGCTTCAGTGATAGGGAGTTTTCTTTATTGTTAGAAACCCTGTCAGGATCCCTTATCCTATTGGGGTGCCTGGATGGCTCACGTTGACCATCTGACTCTTGATTTCAGCTCCGGTCATGATCTTGGGATTGTGGGATCAACAGACTTCAGGCTCCTTGCTCAGTGGGAAGTCTGGTGGATTCTCCCTCTCCCTCTCCTTCTGCCCCTTTCCCTCTCCCTCTGCCTCTCCCCATGCTCTCTTTCTCTTTCTCTCTCATAAATAAATAAATAAATAAAT